CTATTACAGCCCTCGAGTTCCTCCTGCACTTATGGGTTGACAATTGCTTACAAGGGTGTGAGCACTGGTTCCCCTCTTCACTATAATGAACTTATGTACACTGGTTCCCTCCCAAAGCTACTACGATACACTCATATAGAAAAGTTTTAAGAATCTTATGATGGAAAAACCATGTGGTTAATCGCACATGCATACATGAAAATTTACGTAAAGTTCGGATAGGTCTGAAAGTATGGGAACTTCTCTCTTTTCCAAGCCGGCCTGCGTGGTAATTCCCTTTCCTACATATGCTCGTTCTTCTTCGTCCTTTTTATTTTACAGCAGCAGCTTGATGACGACATTCAATACTGAATTTCAATCTGGACATATCTACTAAGTGGAAATAATACCTGCTGTTTAACTCCATGGATTACTGAACTGCTCCCAATCTTTCGCGGCTTCTGGAACATCTTCACAATCAACTCATCAGTTGGTCAGGATTCTTCTTGCGACGAACCGTCCAAAGTTTCCCAACAGCCATAGTGGCACAAATATTCTCAACAAATGATCAAATGAGAGGCCAATATACCTATTGGCTCGGAATATGACTTACTTGCAGTGATTCCATACTACATGTTCTATAGTGCTCTGTATCAAGTGATCTTTTTAAGTAAAAGTTACCATTCATCAAATACACTTCTCGAATGATGCTGCTTACGCCAACATGGACGATGCCCGAAGTCCATATATAACTGCCGCCGTTTGGACTATTAACCGTCTCAACGTCTACCTTCATCTAGTACTAGGAGTAATCCCGGTAGAATTAATGTATACTACCTTTAAACCACATGGTGAACTGGAAATGCATGGACTCAGACACTCACCTTGGTCATATAACTGTGGACACTTACTGATACTCCAGATTGTGGTTAGCAAAGTTAAAAACTGAAGAACTTTCTGGTGAATGGATGTTTATATTACTAAATAAGAAACTATGTGAATGGACTAACAACGCCGTCTGGCTACAATGCAAACCTCGAACACTGCGCGCTTTTGTCGTTGATAGTGAAACCTATCTGTGTAGTGACAGACGGAAATCCATACCCGTCTCTTGATTTGCAGCAAGTTTTAATAAGTTCATACATATCAATAACTTGCTATGTGAGTTGTATAATTTCCGGCACTATTCTGTAAACTTTCAAAAGCATCATTTTGACGGTGCTTGTGAACTGGTATCTGTCATGTTAAATCCATTATATGGGAATGGGAATTTTTATTACCTCCACTTTGACGCAATGCGCATGCTGAAAGTGGTACTTTCTCTGTCCTGTAACCGCTATCTGATGTTTTTGATGGAGTTAAACGACCTCCCTTCCGTACTTTCCAGGACCCGTAAAATCTTGTAGATTTTTCGACATATATCAATGTGATGATGCCTGTAAACTGGCTCCTCTCATGTTAAATTACTAATGCGAGAAAAATTTATTCATTTATATATATATATACATATAGCTGATCAAGCGGACGTAGTAATTTCTATCTTCATCACAGTCTCCGCCTTCACAACTCACAACTACAACCTGATGCAGGTTACAGGTTATCCGTGGGGCACGGCAGATAGAGTTTTTTTCAAAGATCGCTGGCGGCGGACAGTGGTACTTGATTTCCGAACACGTACTTGGTGCCTCCTGTCAAAGCTGCTGACCAAGTGAAGAGGATCTAGTAAAAAGTAGCTAGTGATAAACCTTACTTTCGGGTTGCTCGTAAGTTTTGTCTTATCATGTGGCTTCACTACAAAGGTTATGAAAATCAGGTGAGAGGGGTTAACCCAGAAGATAGGGTCAACGATCAAGTTAAGTGGTATTGCAAACCGAGTTAGGCACAGCAGTACTCTCAGCATGCAGGATCCATGTATACTCGGCAGCTCTCGTAGACAGGAAGATATGCTTGCATTTTTGGCCATCTTATTGTTCAGATGTGAGCTACATGTGCTAGTCAACCGTCAAAACAAACTACACAAGTCGACATCAGCATGTAGAGAACAGAACACAGAGTTAAGACCAAAAAGGGAGTTGCAGACTATCCATATCAATGTAAAAGGTGGTGTCATCTTTTTATGCAGCTTTCCCAGGATACTGCAAGAGCTTGCTCGCTGAAGCGTGTGAAGTTGCACGAATCCTTGCGTAAGAAGTATTAAAAGCAACATTTGTCTTTCTGCCAGTCAAACTAAATCCCCCTTAGTAATACACCCGCAGTATCTAAAATATTACGCCAAAACAACACGCATTCCACTTAAACAAAGCACTATCACAGTTCAGTTCACCTCGGTTGTATTGCACTCTCTGGGACGGGTTCTTTAATCGTGAGGCTTTCATAGCCTTTCTAAATGACACCATCGGTACGATATATATATATATATATATATATATATACATGTGGCCCGACCATTATTGAAGCCACCATGAGAAGTTTCAGGAACCTTCGTCAAATCAGCTTATTGCTAGCCTATGCTTTTAACCCGTAGCGGTCAACAACTGGAGCTCCTAGTTTGGCCAAGTGTTACTCAAAAAGAAATCAGATCTTCACAAAAGAACTAATGCAAGGGCCAGCGAAGACCGAACTGATTTGCCGTTATTACTAAAGGTGGGTACCATTTGAGGGACGCAATACCTCAGATCATAAGCAAGAACACCTCTTTCATTCCACGAAGGAATAAAACGACCTACTCTTCCTGGCCTGAATCAAGCACTCGTAAACCTATTTGGTGTAGGCAGTCATCTTGGTATTAATGGAGGGATCCTTTTAGCAAAAACGACTGGAATGGTCCCAAGAATATCCGTTACAGATGTATGGCAACGGCCAGAAGTGATATAGTAAAGTACTAGGTATATCTGAGAGGAACACTGGAGGGGAATCATCGGGTCTTGTACTTACTGACCAAAAAGAGGGGCAGCGTTTCACTAAGTATACAGGACTCTGTTAGTTCGGTGATTCACCTCACTAAATATGAGATAGCTCACTTGATAGCTTGGGAATTTAGAAATAACTACTGTCAGGTGGAAGGGATAGATCACTACCAGGTATCCACATGATGCAGAGCGATTAAGTTCCACTGAAATGAGTCTTAAAATTTGGGGAGTCTTGAGGATCTTAAATTCTAATAAGTCTCCGGAATTCACCTCAGATCACTCAAAGAGTTTGTCAACGTTGCAGCTGCTTCATTATCAAACTTCAGACACTCGGTTCTACAAGGTAAATTGCAATCTGATTGAAAACGAGTGTCTGATATTCAGTGTATAAAGATGGTGATAGGCTATTTGTGTCTAACTATAGACCGTTCTCCTTGGTAATTTCAGTTCTAAAGCTGATGAGCGGAATAGCAAATGACTCGTTTCACAAGTATTTACTTGAGGACCAGTGCCGAATGGCCGTCGAAACAGATTTTTACTAGGAAGATCGAGTAACACCAACTTTCTTATAACAAGGAATAGTTGGACTCTCTCTACTAGGTGGAAAAAGTCAATCCTTATCGTGATACATGACGTTTCTGAGGCCATCGATAAGATAATTCAAAATATCCCGCGCAGAGGCTTCGGTCGTCGGGAAAATTCAGAAGTTAGCCAATTGCTCTAGGGGTCACCTTAACAGTTGGTTACAATCTGTCAGTGTGCGCGCCTCTTTAGCGGGTTTCCGACGCCGAGTGGAGTGCTTTCGGACCCTATTTTTGTTCTACTATTGTTCTTTGCCTCTGTTAATGACTCGCGAATAAGCTTGAATTCTCACTCACTACTGCATGCTCATGATCCGCGGATTTATAAGGAGAGGAGGATACTGAGTACAGAAAGAGATATGTGGAGTTCTACTTCTTGCTTACTGGAGGAAACAAATACTTCTCAATCAAACACTGACAAGGAGCTGGAGGTCACTGAAAATGATACATTTGAAGCTTCCGTCCGTCGTCACCCTGCAGCTGGAAAGGCACACTAAGTCCTGGGGTTTCTGACTCGCCGTCCAGGGAGTCTAACTCCTGGATTTTTCACCGCAGCAAACAGGCTATACACTCATCCTCACCTGAAGGAAACCACCAGTTGTTCCCCCATACCTGAAAAGGGACATTGACGCCACAGAATGGGTTAGGAGAACAGCCACGAAGAAGGTGATTAGACCGCGTCACAAACATTATCTGGAACGCTTAGTTGTTCCTAATTTGTACCCAGTAAAAAACAAGAAAACCAGGTGGGATTCGGTCATATCATACACAATCCTCTTCATCGTGACCGATTACTGGTGTTTTGATCAGAAACACCCCTGAGATGTCATCCTTTCAGATTACTGCATGAAAAGGCTCGTTCCATAGTCCACGCCAGTTCATTTGCTAACAGTGTAAACTGTGGAACTTCCTTCCCGAAGAAGTTGTCATAGCCCCCTTTCTTGATGCTTCCTAAAGGTTTGACATGTAGTCCTTTGGTACGAGTGCACTGTACTCAAGAAGTCACCCGTCACCTTGCAAGTCAGGGACAGCAGCACTGCCTACAGCAGGGTAATTAATTAATTATTGGTTAATTCCGTCTTTTCGGTTTTCTACGATAAGGGAACACAAGTGACCATTCGAAACAACAAAAGTATTCCTTCTGGACAGACGTAGAACCCAAGGAACCACTGGCCCTCTCCGATTCTAAGACCACTGTTATCGCCCTCGAATCTACCTAAGTTTCTCCTATACTTTAGTCCTGCTTCTTTTCAATTTACTTGTTTCCTCTTGCATCTCTCCCTCATTTTTTTGGCATCTGTTTATCCCTTCTATCCTCTTTTTACAACCAGCTGGAAAGACTGTATGGTGGCATGCAACCTATAGAACCCATCTACACCACCAGCACCAAACCACCTGTTGGGCTAAACACAGATACAAAAGGCGAGTGGGTAGAACTACTAGAACTACTAGACCGAAATCCTGTGACCGCTTCAGAAGACCTAGTAGTAAGGGCGAAGAAACCAATTGGTTTACATTACCTTAAAAAAATATTGGATTTTGGATGTTGTGGCGGTAATTAACCAACTTTGCGTTATGTCTCTAGATGACTGATCTTGGGCAATCTACATGCGTTAAGTTCGTGGACCAGACCGCAAAACCAATTCTCGGGAAGATATTTGACTGTTCTAACCCATGTACTCCCCACTCAGTCAAAAGAATCTTGTCTGCCGCAGAAAAGCGTAGTCGTTACTTCCGTCGACTGATTCATGTCAGACACATGGATTTTGAGTATGCTATATGGCAAATGTGCCAGCTCTTCGTTGGACCACAGCGTGTATTTAGAAATTTCCGATACCGTAAATGTATGTATCTCGCCTATAATGTGCCACTTATTTTGTAGGTTCGCGACAGCAGTGGGCTAGAGACGATCCCGCGTTCTTAGTGCTGATGATGGGTTTTCTTTTATGTAAGTCTTCAAAAGCTTTAGCTGTGAATTTTTTATCAGTGTTGAGATCATCAGTTTAGAAATAACAGGTGTGGAAATACTTGTATAATATGCATCAACTTTTTGTTGATATCCTTTTTATTGGAGACAATTGTTGTCTTTGCGTTTAAAAATTCTGTTCATTTTATATTATTCTACAGAAGTAAAACTACAAAATTATGATTCTTTTTGTTGGCTAATGTTCTTTAACTCTCGCCAGCCTAATCATTTGGCAAAAAGGCCTAAGTCAAAGTTTTCACTTCACTATCTTGTCTGACAAGGTTAACGATAACGAACTAAATCTAAACGGAGTAAAGAGAACCTATTACTTAATGTCCTGTCAGTCTTTGAAGCTTCTGAGTAATATATAGGTACTTCGCGGGTACTTTTACCCATTACATATTTTGTTTTCATTGGTCAATCCGGCATCCTTCGAAAAATACTAACTTAGCAATTAATAAATGGTTTTGCGATTGGTTAACCGATTATCCACTTCGCATTATGCATCTGCGTTTGTTCTTTATGCTGGGATTAGCTGTTAACGAGGATATCTAGCAGATATGCAGCCATACTAAGATTCATATGCCTATGGAAAATGTAATTCATTTGTTCTTGCATGCAGAGTTTGCTGTATCTAGTTGTGTCGCCAAGGTTGCTAGTAGTGGATACTCAGTCCAAATCATGTTCCACCTATTTCAACGTAAATAAATGAACAGTATCGCGAGTCCTCACACGGTTTATCCAGCTAACTGCGTTGTTTATATGGTGTGCTTAGTTTGTCACTACGTTAGACGGTAAGCATACGTTCTTAGTTATCAAAATTATAAGAAAACTTTTTCTGGTCTCGTGAATCAACTTCAGTCTGGGTATTTCGAGGGTTTACGTCTTAGAACATGTAGGAGTATAGGTTTCTTCAACCTCCAAAGGACCTTAACTTGGCCAATCACGTTAGAGGTGGCTGTGTTGTCGTTCCAGAAAGCTTTGAATCATTAAGATCTCGCTGATTACATATAGGGTTGTGCACAATCTTGATTGAATCGAAGGGAATGATATTCCGTATTATCATCTCATTACTCATAAAAGATTTTTCATGTCTACATTCCCCACTAAGAAAAAGATTACAGACAAGAGGTTCACGCTATAGTACGCTTTACGATTGGGTACCACACCATGAAAGCTATTCACAGCCTTCACTTAACCCTTGAGCCATACCTTTCGATTCCAAGTAACTTCATGATGTCAAAAGGCTGGAAATAAACAGCGAGTATGTGCTTTTCTCAGTTCTCGCGAATCAATGTTTAGCTTTTGTCCTTTAAAATCGATTTCATATACAATGTCATGAACGTCGTGTTTCTAAATTCTCAGATTTTTACAAATAATTCAGATACTGTAGGGGATCACTTAAAAGGATATTTTTGTCCATCCGGTAGTTCAGGGGGTTTATTTCCATGTAATCACATGGACGAATGTCTTTATCGTGCGTACTTTATCTCAAACGAAAGTGGATAAGTCCCTAAACGTCGTTAAAAAGCCGTACCCACTGAATTTCTTCGTTTTTTTTGAAGACCAAAGTGAAACAACCAGTCTTATTAGTGCTTCCAAGGTCATTTTGTAGTAGCTCGAGAACGTTAATGCTCTGCAGTTCCATGGTATCGGCCCGTCGTCAAGTGTGATATCTCAGAGTGACACGCTATCGTTTTTACTCTCCAAGTTGTCCTCCTACTAAATCAACAGAAATGCTACAAGGATTACTTGCATTTAAAGATACCAGCAGCAATAATTTAACTGAGAGTGGAAATTGAATAGCATAGGACTAAGAATCTGGTTTCGTTAGGTAAAACAAACGACCAATCATGCCAGATGCACCGTGTGAAAGTATTACTCTGACTAGCATCTCGCCCAACCTATCAGTACTTATGATAAGGACACGCTTAGTTATTTACAGCTCGCCACAAGAGCAGTATATTAAGCATATAACCATGAGCAGACAACCTGCTTCTAAAATATCTTTCTGTGAATAATACAGTATGGCTGTGATCTGTATCAACTGAAGTAACCTTATACGGAATCGACCTCTACAGTGGTGGCCAAGTTTTATATCAATGAAACCAGATGTTAACTTCAGGTCAAGAAGTGTGGTTAGTTTTGAACACATGTAAGTACACCTTTGTTAAACTGATGAAAGAAATCGAGCAACAATGTGTAACTTCACAGTGGGGATGAGTGACTGTAATCTTTCTCTGTACCTGAGGTGCTGAAGTAAAAGGATTTCAGGATGTTAACAAACTCCTCAGGACACCTTCTACCAGACAATTTTAGGATAGGCTTGTTCAACAAATCGTAAACAGTTCTAATATAGGAGAATTCAGCGATCGTGAACCTGCAAAGTGCGACTGTATCTGAGCAAGAGACGGATGATAAATGCGTGATTAATGCATCTACGACCTAAACAAAACCTAACTTGCTCCTCACAGATCAGTTTTCCGCGTGTTTTCACAGCATGTGATGTATAATAACAGTCAATGTTGTAGACACTACTGACGCGAGACTAATACCTTGGTGATAATCCCATAAGTTACGTAGAATTTTGGGGAAGGTTACAACAACAGCTTCATTTCAGAATCATGGAACACTCTCAGTCTTCTGTAGTCTCCCTCAAACAATGTAGTCAATTTTATAACTAAAGTTTTACCATCTTTGAAAAGAGCCAAGGAAAGGTTGTCTGCGTCGGGTGCTTTATCGCACTTTACGGGCCTCTGATTCGTTAGATGTGTGTACGTTAACTAACCATGTAGCCTAAGACATTGAGGTCGATGTTTCTGGGCCAGTAGACCCGTTGAACTACTTTTTGAAGGCTCGACCCAGCGTTTCAGATGTATGGAAGAGTAGATGATCGGCATATGTGAGAGTAAAACGTAGGCACTGTGGTCGAATATAATTCCACATAAGATTGTTCGTTTGATATGGTACACAGTGATACAGACTGATTTAGTGGATGACCTTTCGAGCGGAATTTGTTGTTTAAATTAATATCACTTAGATGTGAATATGAGTAATAAATTCTACTCGAAACATCATGCGTTAAATTGTACCGCATTACTGTGCTATATCAAATAAATAATCTAATATGGATGTACCACGTAATTCACAAACCATCTCACTGACACCAGGCTTCTTGCTGCCAGTGACTCAAATGAGTTGGGAAAGACTTCGACTTTTTTTCAGGTGCAGTTACTACCTCCATCTCACCAGTGTCCTAACACCAGACTTCGCGGTTCTTATGGAAATGCTCTGTAATTTGTAGCTTAGGGGACTTTCGCATACCATTGTATTCTCTACCTGATGGAATACACCGATAAACATCAAGAACTTGCAAGGAGCTGGCAGAGACCCAGTGTTTATTGACGTGGCGTTCTTTAAAGCCACAATCAGCTTTACTCACTATTTTATGGCATTTTGTAAATGCAGACAATGCTAACATGTACTTATTAGAGGTTCGCAAGGCAGCCTGAAATCTAGCTCAGCTTAGTATTGAGTTGCTGTGTGAAGTGCAGTCTGCTTACGTCTATTCGTTTCAAACGATAACTGATAGCCACCGAAACAAGATAAACTAATCACACCAAAGCGTGATGAGTGTTCAGACGTGTGTTCCAGAAGGAGCAGCAGTCTTGAATACCCCCATATCATAGACAGCCAGCAGCAATATATAAGTCCAAGTTTGTATGGTAGAGAGATGTAGACGACCAGGTAACACAACAGTGATGGCTGTTAGGAGTTGGTGCTTGCTAAAAAGAAGTTATGATCTGTAAAAAGCTGGAGATTTTCCTTGTTATCTGACCTGTGACCGACTATTCCCCACCGACCACCTAAACGATTCTCCTTAGAGGCCTTGACTCCCTACGTGTATATTCAAGTCCCAGCACTGCGATATCTATCGAGCGTATCTAATAGATAAAGGGACTTATTTGATTGTAGGAAACCCTTAACTATATCCAAGCTGTAGTCAATCGGTGCAAGGTTAGAGGTGACAAACAGACATCGCTTCCCTTGCCTGTTTCTCCTCACTCGAACCATACCTCCTTACCTAGCGGCACGTAGATGACCATCGACAGGAATCCAATCAACCAGTGCAACTTTAGTTCCAGTACTTAGTGTAACACTATCACTAGCAAGATAGACTGTCGTTGCCATAGGTTCCCCGGGTAAGTGCAATGTGCTAACACTGAGCTAAAAAATGAGTTTTTCGAAGGAATTCACTAAGATCTTGTGTATAGGTCTCTGAGACACAGTATATGTCAACAGAAAGGCTTTCTAGAGTTCTAGCTTAACCTGTCTGTTGTTCTATCGGCATCTGGATTTAAACATTGAAAGTGGCGAGGTCGAGCGATGCACCTGGTTTCAGAGTATTTGTATTGCGCATCATACTGAAGGGCAGCTTTCCAGAAGCAACTGTCAAGCTACTCAAATTGGCTTAGTCTAACGATGATGCATATGATGAATCTGAAAATGATAGCGAAAAGACAGTATAGTTCATAAGTAAGAACAACGACGATAAATGGATTGGTTAAGCAAACATTTTGCTACACCATGAATTTCTGTTTTAGCCGTATGATTTGATGAGCATTTAGTAATCTTCATTGTTAAAGTGATTCATAAATTGTATACGGACTGATAAGGCTTGGTCGTTCAGAACGAAGCAGATGATTTTCTCAAAGGGCGATTCTTTGAGCATTTGACTTCCAGTCAGATCTTCAAAGCTTGCATAACAATATGAGGTGCTGCCTGCTCACGGTTACCAGTGACCAAGATCGGTTCCTATACCATTTCTTCTTTCTGGAGGTCCACGATTATTATTGGTGTAGGATTAGGGTCTTTCCACCTCCCTCACGTATACCTTCCGTGTACACCAATCTGGTTATGGTGTCGAGAGTTCACTTTTATCCTCCTCATACGTGTTGAATATCCTCCACTACGTAAAGGCATTGGGTAAGACCTCTTTGACATAAGCTTTAAACGCATCGCCGTTTGAGAGCAGGATCATGATCGTCCCACCCTCAGTTATATCAGGGGGTCTAAAGAGGAAAAATAAGCCACATATGTTGTGTGAAGCTAATAACACTATCCGGTTGCCCATGCTAAAGCAGATACAGCTGGGTCCGAACCCTTAGACCTATTGCTTGAAATTAAGTGCTTAAGCTTCAGAGCTGCAACTGCTTTTGCCATACCACTGTTCCAAAAACCTTTGTGGTGCAGCAAAACCTCAAGGGGACAAGTGCTCCCACCAGCATAGCCTGTCTGGTCATTGTGACATGCAAACCCGACCGCCACTGGTGCCCGTCTGGAAATACTGGTTCGTCGGTATCCTGAAAGAGAGTTGTTAGGACCTCGTATGCTCCGAGAAACAGCGATTTATGTTGATGAATTTTTCTAACCTCTGGTTACCTACATAGAATGCTTTTCTGAATAAAGCACTGAAATCTTCTGAACTACCAGTTCTTCTCTGTTCTGAAAAAGTTATGGTGCCTATATTTAGAAAATCATCCTATGAGCGTAAGGAGAAATTAACATAATATATCTGTGTGGATCACTTTTTGGGTGTGTAGGAGTCCTACACAAATATTTTGACAAGCAAGACTCCTTCATCTGGCAGTAAACTTACGTTTCATTTTCTGCCACTTTCTTATTTCATTGTAGTTACCTCTTTGGGATTTTCTGTATGCATGTCGTTGAACGTAACTCAAGCAATTGAGTTTGTTTTGTGGGTCGTATTCGTCGATTTTATTTCAATCAGTCTACTTCAAGCAACGTTCTTTTGGATTATTACAAACCACTTCTTTATTGATCCATCAAAAGTTCGTTCTATTCACTTCAGCACATTGGCTTCCGATACTGAGACCAATCCACAAGTTGAATGGGGATATGCCTTCGATGTTCACTTGAATGGATTTTTTGTAGCACTGTGCATTTTGCACCTCTTACAGCTGCCTTTCTTGTATAGTACGTTCATTAATATTCTAGTTTTATTTTCCAAGCGTATCGAAATTACTATGAATATTTTCTCCGTTTTATTGTGTAAACTGGTAGGTTATATAACAATAGTAATGGGAAACATATTCACTAGTAAATAACACTGTCAAGTTTTAGATTGTTAGACAGAGAGAAATAATTATTTCAGTGGTTATGAAGAATATGGAGCTTATTTCACTGAAATATCCCGTACATTCACATACTGCATCTAGAAAAAGTCACCTTGCATGATATCTGTTCTTATTCCAAACATGTGTATGAAGACATACTGAAGTTGAGAAGAAGAGAAACAAAGTAAGATACAATACAATATCGAATCTCATTGATCTCTGAAAATAAAATTATCTACACACACTTGACCACTACCCACTAGTCAACGGATTCAGGTTCATTTTATATACTATGAGCAAGGCAATGGGCTAGTACCATAAAATTATATATTAGTTACGTTTCTAATTGTAGCAAGAGTTTCTACAGAAAGTTGGCTAACTAGAACGGTGTAGAAATACTACTCACCTGTTACTTCTTCATATACATTATGCAGTCTCATCCACACTTTTGAGACTTTTTTTTCATAGTCATCATCCTTTCTTTTGAAATATCGAAATTCTCCAGATATGTAAGGCAAATGGTGGTTCATTTCCGTTGCTTATTTTTAACACCGACTAAATAAACAAAAGATTCAGTTATTATCTTGTCTACGTTATGAAATTGTTTGGAAAGACATCACCCCCCCCCCCCCCCCCACCACCATGCTATACAATAGCAACAGCTTATTTCTTATCCATTTTCTTAACCCGCTACTACTTTCTGCCACTTTAGAACTAATTTCAGTGCTATGATATCTGAATTCTCACTAGTAAGTTACTTTGACCTGCTGATTCTACTCTTAGGTAACTGTAAATAATTTAATAAACTCAACAAGTTCATTCATGAGTTCATGAACCCTAGTTTGCTGACAAACCTCTTTAGTATTTTCGATGTTCTCTCTCTCAATGTTTTAATACTATTAAGCCTAGTTAGGTCTTTTAGCTAACTTTTTAGCAGTTATAAGTTGCAGGCAAAAGTAAAAGTTCCTCTGATTGTCTTTAAAAGATTTAGGCACCTGCTTCTGTCAAGAATCTCTTTAGTTTAATCTCATAAGGGATCTTAAAAATATTTTTACAATGTATAAAGTTGAAAGTCTACCATCAACACTTACAGAATCAGTTGTTCCAGTCTTGTGTGAGAATTGTGAATATATAGCAAAATAGTCCAATGCGAATCCTTTATTCTCCTGCTTCAAAAATTTGTAGCTGAATTGAAGAATTCTTCAAATTTTTATGCCTGTAGGTAAATGGTTTATACTTCTTATGGCTGCTTCGATGCGCTTTATTAGTGTCGATCGGTAAGCCAATTCTGTTCGTGTAATCAGCATCTACAAATACGTAACTTTTCTATTGCTACTTCTTGGGTGCTTTTGACAGTGCATCGTGGTGCCGCGGAACTAAGTTTCCGAAATTAAACCTCTTGCGACTTCCTCACCCTATCACTCCGCGATCATTCTCAACGGCGCAAACCAGTAAAACACCATTCTTAAAATCCCGCTGTCGGCTTCACTTCCGAGCTTCCAATGTCCAAACCCTATGCCAAACCAAACAGCGGACGTCTCTTGCTGGAACTCTGGAAATTTGAGCCATGGATGTTTTCTGTGTTCCTGAGACATACATAGTTATTCACTAGACCTCACCTAGCAATTAGGGTGAATCTTCGAATTCCCCTAAGAAGTGTTTGGAGATTCAACAGTTAGCTCTCATAAACTCGCTGCTGTAAGCATAACATCGAACTGTAGAGTAAGAAACACACATCTCTACAGGGAACCAATCATCAGCGGTCTGAATGCTATTTGACTGAATGTATGTGTAGGAACTAAGGGGAATCGTGAGACTAGCTGTTGCCCATTCATAAACTCCGCCTACGCGTGCATCGACTCCAGTGCAGATGATGCGAAAGATGAATTCTACCGAAAGCTGTCAATTTTTCTACATAAAGCGAAACGTTCAGATGCGTTCGTAACAACAGATGACTGCAGACCTCAAATAGGGAAGCTGAGGCAGTTGGAAACGTATCTTGTACTTATCCACGAAATCCCGTGCCAAAGGACCTCTGATGATGATAATCTGCTGCAGTTTCGTTCTAACAATCACTTTTTTCTAACCAGCACTAAAGTCAAGAGTATAGAGAAATACTATCTCACCGGATGTGTACCAACTTTAGAGAGATCATGTTGCTATATTTCATCATCAGAGAAGATTGCCGCTCTGTCTGGAACACCTGTCTGAACTTTGATCACGCATTAGTATGGGCACCTGTATCTTTAAGCCTTACTGGTTGCATAAAACTGGCGGCACTGAAGCCGGTCTTTGTTCGTGAATACGTATTTAGGGAAGAGTTAGCGGAACATTTATCTGGATGTGACAGTAATGTTCATCCTGAAGAAACCTGGCGTGATATTGAGTCTACTAAAGAAAAAGCGGTAAAGACAGTTGGTAACATACATCCGAAGGTTAGCAAACGTCATTGGATTTCCACGACGTCATCCGTGGTAATCGGTGCAAGAAGACTGACCATGATGAAGAGCGAAAGCAATTTAAACGTAAATTGGGTGGAAGTCTTCACGGTGATTATGAGTAGCGAATATGAGAGAGATGATGGCATCAGCATTAGGTAATACCCGTTAACTGTTGAGGCTGATTAGTTCGGCAAACCTTATATCAGCACATCAAGCAAGAGAGCATTCAGATGAAAGATAAGGAAAGAGAGAAGAAAGCAGTCAAAAGTGGCTGGAAGTCATGATATAAAACGACAAGGAAGAATAAGAAAACACTGCGTCCAGTATGATGATTAAGATGAGGATAATGTGCGGATGCATTTGTGTCATGTCACTTAGTCCTCAACAGCTGGTTTTTGTGTCACACGGACACGAACCAACAAGTCTGCATTACCCTACACTGTTTATACTAACAGTCATAAATTTGGTGAAGTGATGCCATATTTTAGTCTTACCACCCATACCCTTTTTCCGGTCTAGGCCTACTTCAGCCAACATTGTGCGACAAGAAAGACGATGACTAGGCATATGTGACACATGTCCCAGCCACCTTAGTCGATAAAGGTTGGCAACCTCATCTACTGAATATCATTTTCTCCCCGGAAATCATCACCTGACTTTTACATTATTGACGCAGTAAAACCACGACACAGTATGTGGTATGATGGTGTTCGAACACCTGAAGCTTTCTCATATCCCATCAGACTGGTCTACTTCAATAGTCATTCCGGTCTGTAAGAAAAACCTTTTTGTGACCATCCCAGAGAAATCAGTCCGACTAACATGGTATTCTAGGTTTCATAGTTATTCCACGATTAACTGGAGCTCGAGAATACCAGGCAGGTTTTAGACCCCTTCATATTTAACTTTATTATAGACGTACCTTAGGTACGTCTGACTTTACAGGGATTGATCTAGGCGTTGGAGGTCATCTGACTGACTTGAAGCATGCAAACGATGTTGCCCTGGAGGGTGAAGGCGCTGACAAAATGGGGGGAGGGGGTTGTGAACTCGTTGAGCAGAAATCTGAGTATCTTTGGCATGCGTTTCTCTGTCACCTGCCAGATGTAAGATATGCTCCAGAGATGGTCTGCTGCATGTAATCCCAGTTTAATGATAGGGAGTGGGATATGTTGGGTACTACACCTACTTGGGGAGTTGCATCATTCCGAAGAGGGTGGTTGCTGACGAAATCTTGAGTGGGATACAGAAGGCCCATTCGGCATTTACCAACTTGCGTCATTTGTGGTGCCGGCGAGATATCTAACTTTCGGTTAAAAGACGAGTAAACGGTTCTGCAGTCTGTTCTGTGCTGTTACTCGACTGTGAGACATAGCCGTTGTGGGTGGGTTTTGACCATAGGTGTCTTCGTACCATACCTCGCGTATGGTGGAATCACCGTATGAGTAATGTTCGGGTTAGGTGAGAGATACTAGGCAAGTCAGTAGATGAGGTTATAAACCTTAGCCGACTAAGCTGGCTTGGGTGTGTGCTGCGCATGCCGAGCCACTGCCTACCTCGACGTTCAATGCCAGGGAAAGTTGGATTAGGCTGGAAAAGGGTTCAGAAATGTGGCACTGATTCGTGAAATGTCTGATGGTTGGCCTGACCGTGTATGGAAGTCTAGACTATCTGGCTAAAGTCTCTGACACAACAAAAATCAGTGGTTGAAGAATTTTGGTGAAATGGTCGAATATCAATCACCGTTGCGCAAATATATTCAGCCTTTGACGTCTCCCAAAGCTTGAAAATTTTCACTAACCTTGATTTTGGAATTCATTTTCTTCCCATATACCTTTATCTACTTTGAAATGAGCCTTTTTCTTTGCATGCTACTGTGTAGTGCGGCAACTTGAACCGATAGACTTGTGCGCGAGGTTCTGCGTTGATTTTGTTTGTCTATCTGGAATCAGTTTTGCTGCATAGATGCGTCGTAAAGTTGCCCAACAGTGTAGCATAGCACTAGTTGTTTGTTGTAAGCGAATCTTTGTCAGCGTCGTCTGATAATAAATTAAGTGGTGACCACAATTCCGGATAAATTAGTGACTGATGAGGTTTTGGCTTGAATATACCGATATTTTTATTTCCGATCAAGTTTACTAAACTAAAGTATAGCTGTGTTCTACTTCGTGGTTGAAAAACGTAACCATTCGTGTTAGTGAATTAGCAAAGTTTACTGGTATTGTATCACTGTTCCCTACATTGTACTGCCTGTCTGCGATGGGACCGTTAAATAAGGGACATCTAACAAACACCTTACGCACATCGTGTCACTGACAGAAGATTTTTTCACTCACACGGTTCCAAGTTTCTCGCAGATCTGTTTCATTTCAAAGCATGTCTCGTACAACCGCCGATCCTCTTCGTGGCATTCATCTTAAAACAGTCCTAAATCCCATCCTAAAATCAATCAAATCAACATAGCATGTGCCATTACTGTATAACGTTTCAAGTTGCCACACTTGACGTCAGCATATCAACGTAGTAGGCATCAGGATGATGGATAATGAAATAAGATAGAAAGTAATCAAAAATGGTAAAGCCCCAAAAAGGGAGCAAGATGAAATCAGTGATACAGAGATTCATTTTGAATGTTAACGAAGTGATGGGATGGGTTTTATGTGTGGATTAGTTAGAATATGCTCTAGTGCTTATCTATGAGAAACTGTCAGTTTGATATGTATTTCGAGACCTCAAAATTGGTGTTAATTTTGCCGTTTTGTAAGTAAAATTATTAGGCTTAGTATTGTGGCTTGCCGTAGGTATATAGCACCATTCTTTTGGGATATATCGTTTTTAATACTCATTTTTTATTGATGTCATTAAAAGTTAAGCACTAATTTGAGTACTTTGAACGCTGCTGCTAAGCAGCTATGCATCAAATATTATCAACTGAGAAGGATGAAGGTAGCCGTGATGGTATGCTTTCGTTTAGTTCATAAACATGTCTGAGTAATAGATTGGCTTGTAAATTTTTGAACTGTTTTGTGCCAAATGTCATCAATTAAGGTGATCTGCATTGACACAATAAAAAATATAAACAGTATAGATTTATATGGTTTGATTTACTATTTCATGTGACCGATTAACCGATAATTAGTTACTGAATTTTGTTTGATTTTATCATTTCACTATCATTCCATACCGTGACGAGTCGTCTTTAATGAATGATCTGTATATTATCTGAGTGGTAACAATCAGCAGCACAGTCCAGTTCTCGTTTGATGTCAGTTGAAAGTGTAATTTAACTTTGACCCTTAAACAGCTATAATTTGAATTATGACAAACTGCTGAATTTCCAGTGTAAATATGCACATGAAACCAACCAGCCGTAATTGATAGACAGGATATTACACTAAGAAAAGACTGCACGGTATAACGCTCGATTGGTGATCTCTAGATGCAATCAACCACTTTGTGCACATCGGTGCAGTAGGCAATGGGCCACACCTATTGCGTGAGGGCTAGTGATTTTTTCGTTAATTGATATCGGTAGTGATTCACCAGCCTTATAATTCTGATTTGGTTTCATCGTCGGCTGACAATTACGAATTGTAATCATAATAAATAAGAATTTTTTTCCCCCTTCATATTTACTATGATGCTTCAGTCTGGCAAACAAAACTGTGGCTTGTGAAGATATATTAATTGATTTTAAGTCTTAGTTCATCGTGAAGTGACATCAGTTGGAGGAACATTAGGAACCTGGGAGCACTGGACAGCTGTTCCGTCCAAGCGTGGAACTTCTCAACAGTGCACACTCATGATCCACCCAGGACGAGGCAACTGTCTAGTGCCCCCAGGTTTCCAATGTTCCCCCAATTGATGTCAGTCCATGATGAATTCCAATCTAAAATCGATTGTTAAATCTCTAGAAACCTTCAGATAGAATTAGTCCAGCGCTCATTGGTGACGGGCTTTCAGGGGTGATCCCCGAAGTTTCAGTGAGAAGTGACCAGTGGAACCAACCAAGTCGAACATGAGGACAGTAACTCAACGGTAACATTGGATGTAGGTTGCGCTATATCGTGAACTGACAAGCAGGAAATATAGACTATTGGATTCCGACTCAGCGGTTCAATGGTAACCTGCTGGCTATGGAACCTTAAGGTCCTGAGTTCGACTCCTGCCCAGGAGGGGTCATGGGTGCACACTGTTGATGAGTCTCATACTAGGACGATAAAGCTGTCCAGTGCTCCCAGGTTTTTAAAGTCACCTTTAGTAGAAGTAATGCACTCTGCATATCCAAGCTGAAAAATGCTAAATTGTCGTTCGATTGATATAGCTGATGCTCTAGTTTCTTTAAAGATTTTATTTTAATATTTTTTAGTGATTTTGAATAATTGGTTCATTGGAAGATTATTGGGCAACACTTTCTGGTTGGCGAGTTTTATTTACTACACTTATATCACGTTTTTAGGTTACCGTGGTAAGTCCGCTTGACTGTATGAATAACCTTAATGGGTCAATTTTTAACCATTATACCTGAAAATATTGAATTTCTACTTACTCGCTTGGTTGTTTTTATGAAGGCAGAATTACTGTTAAATCTTTTTTTAACTTATACACATTTTCAGCGCTTTGGTCTAAGCAGTTAACTTTCAGCCAGTAGTTCACAGTTTCGATCCTGGCTGTAGCTATGATGGTTTAAGCAACCAAGAGGCGTGCACAAAACTGTGTGTAGTTGTTAACCTACGTTATTAAGGTGTACGTTACTTGTGGTAGCGGTGTTTAGCAAGTAGTTGATGCCTGGGATTGTCTCAGTACAGCAGTAGTATGATAAACGATTGAAGTAGTAATACTTTTGTAAGGTACGGTATCAAAAATCATCAGTCCAACTCATGTAGTAATTCTAAGCGAAACGTTTTATAAAAGAAAATGAACGCATGGAATTTGATTAGCTGTAAACAGCCCTTTAGGACTGTAATTTCGAAACATTATTTACATGTTTTTGCAGAGACTTTGAGGAAACAAATATATGTATGATATATACATATATTCATTACAGACTGACATCAGTTGGACAACCATTTGGAAACCTCGGATCACTAGAGAACTGCTTCGTCCTCAGCAGTACGCACCCAGTAGTTCGCCAACTTGATGTCAGTGTGTGGTGAATACTGGTTTAAAAGAAATAAAATCCCCATGAACCTCGAACCAAGTAGATATTAAATCACGAAAATGTCGAGATTACGAATCATAAATGAAATTAGTGGTAATTTCTACGTTGCTTGGTGGTGGAAAATTCGCATCTAAAAATTTGAGAATTCAAGATAATTCAGCTGTTAACTAATTTGGCGATTACTTATGAAGTGGCAAAAAAACAGTATTTGAAAGTGACTGATTGAACATCGCATACGCTGTTGGAAAACTAACCAGCTGTAAAAAGTTTCAACGTGAGATGTGCAACTTGTGAACCGATGATTTATGATCAGAAATTGGTGGGTAAAAATTGATAAGAATTACGATATAGTTGACGGATTAATATGAGGTTAGAGACAGACAAAACCAACATAGAACCTCGCACAGAAGTGTGTCGGTTCATATTGCTACACTTCACAACACCATTTAAAGAACGAGAAGGTAGAGAAGAAGTGAACAAAAATGTATGGATGGAGAAAGAATTTGAAAATTCAGGTTCGGGGAAATTTTCAAACCTTAGAAGACGTCAAATAGTTAATACATCTGAACTGTTGTGACTTTCGGACATGTCACTAAGGGTAGTCATAGCTTCTATGTACACAGTTCACTTTAACAACATTCACTTCTTATGTTCCAGTAAAAAAAAATGGTCCTGACATCTTTTGTTTACTTTACCATGCTCTGAGACATCTTCATTAGATGTCTAATTCAATTAACTTCTAGAGGTTATTACGTCTTATCTACTTCTCATTTATTAATTCATTGACCCTTGGAATTCGCAAGTTGGACTTTCAGCTCTACTAAACCATATCAATCTTTTGCGGTGGTTAAATGAAGATGTCAGCGTAGAAACATACTGTTCTGTAATAAATTCTAGACTGTACACATTATTCACCTATTGTATGTTTTTTCTTTCAAAGAATCATATTTTTACAATAGTTCAATATTCCACTCCTTTGTTTATATTTCAGCCCTGCCTTTTCTCAAAAGTACAACAGTTTTATTATGGCCGATAACAGTTGCAGTTGTAATTTATATTGTATCATTTGTCATGAAATGGAACTTCACACTTTTCCTCTGTCACTTCTATCAATTCCGGTTGTTTTAGTAAGTGAATAGCCGAAATCGAACCTTTTCTGTCTGTGATATAAATATGATCCAATATGGAGAACATCATTGTTATTCTCTTCTTTCATCATTGTAAATAGTTACTAATGCCTGGACTGAACCATCGTTTCGATGGTGTAACTTTATTTCTTCGGTAAATGATTGAATGTAGTTTATGTTTATTGTTTTAAATATTTCTTACACATTATGCTAATTTACCGTCTGATTAAAGCTTATTTTTCATGTGGCGATTACTTGTTTGTGATGTTGAGATCGACCAAATGAAGACGTTGTATCCTATGACAAAATATAACTATTCTTCAATGACAAACCAAACAGAAATAACTATTGACAAGTCTTGTATATTTCAATGTTTGGTAGTTTCCGGAAGAAATTTTGAACATTCTTGTCCATTACTTTCTTGCACTATGTATTCCGTAACCGTTTGCTCGCTTTGGTTTGTTACACTGTCCACATGGGACTAGTTACATTGAGTCAGTAGTTAAGGTTAATGAATGTGTTGCCTACATTAAGTGGCGGGTTTTCCTGAGCATTTGACCTAGTTTCAAATGCAGTTGGAGTAACCAGATATCACTATCCCCTTAGAATAACAATTACTTCAATCACGAATAGCTTGCTATGACAAATTATGTGCTTTATTAAAATGGCAAAGCATGATCGAATAGTTAAACATGAGCATTATTCTGTTTGTTATAAACTGCGTGGCATTCACCTTCTCAGTTGCTTTGTCCGACTAGTGCACTCGTCTAAAATACCCAGTATGTAGTGTTGAATAAGAGTGGAAAATATTAAGGCCTGAATTATCATCCAAAATTTAATATTCTTTGTCTTATATATATATATATATATATATATATATATATATATATATATATATATATCCACTGGTTGTTTGCTGTATTATACTTCATTTATTATTTATAATCTTGTCATTAGCTAAGCTATCTGGGTTAATTCGATCTCGGTGGGGCAAACGCATGTGGAGCTACAGCTCGTTGATCTAAGCGTTCGATTTTCAACCAATGGGTCACGAGTGTGGACCCTACTTCACTTGAGCAGCCAGGTAGTATCATTAGTCCCATGGGTCATTGCCTATTGCACAGGTGTGCGCATAGTTGTTGAGTCCTACTTCATCTCCATGCAACCGCATACCATTTCCATCGCAATCGTCGTATCGAGTTCTGTTACTGTTTTATCTCTTTTTACGAATTTCTGTCACTTCCTCATTTGTCTATCTTTCATCTTGGTGCTTTCTACCATGATTTGCTGATCTAGGGTGCGGCAACTTGGACCGTTGCGCGGTAATACTAGGTCCTATGTTGAAATTAGCTGACTGGCTACATCTTCTGTACATATGCGACGGTTAGTTTTTATTACGGTAAACGCGTACAATTCAGTTGCATCGCTAGAGGTGTCTTTGAATATCTACGTAGTTAGGGTTCCACAGGCACGTACCATACGAACATAATGGGTCATTATCGAAGAAGTGGGCGAGTAGCTTATTAACCACTAGTCTATTGTGTCTAACTACGCATAAACGGTATTTTTCCATATAAGGTTCTCATGACTGTCGGAGGACAGACTTACATTGATTGGTATCTGGAGTTACTAATTTTGAGTTGTCTAGTCCTAAGTGCTAACCGAATCCCATCGATTATTTTGCGACATGGTCACCAAGATGAGAGAAGCACCATCGCAGTGCACTTTGATTAATACTGGTTGTTTGAGAGCGATTTGCAGGAAGCCAATGGGTCTAGGTTTCATGCTTGTTAGTACTCGTCACCAAGGCGTGCCTGCAACTTCGTAAGAATCCTGGCAGTTCCTGCTACTCTTTAATGATGAACCAAAGTATCCTATCCAATCTCGCAGCCCGAATAACTCAATATTGAGATCTCTGATTCCAACACTAGATGGCGTCAGTTCGAATTGAAGATGGAATATCAGTTTCTTTGGAGGTTGCGGATACGCCAAACTAACGAGTGCCAACAAGCACGAAACTTACGTCCAGGTTTTCACGGCGATTTCCTCCAATTGACTAACAGACAGATTTGTCTTTATTTGGATGGTGTCTGGATAAATGCTCTCATTGTTTACGCTGGCCATATTTCGTAGACAAAGTTATACAAAATTGTCTTCAAGCTAAGTGATAAAACGTAATAGTGTATTGTATTTGACGTTTATTTTTAGAAAGGCTTTTTAATTATGATCGACGTGTATCTACAACATCATGTTTTCCAGATTAACCAAATAGAGTTTAGCCGATTTGAGTAATTGTAAACACCACTGGAATTGAGTAACACAGACTTCTAAATAAGCCTCTTCCTTAACGGACACACTTTATATATCGTCCGCCGTTCGTAAAGCATTAAAAATTCTTTAGGACACGAGAAAACGCTTCGATTCTTAGATATCTGTAAACGAGATAATTCTGATAGCACACGTCTATTTACTTAGCAACTGGAATATTATTTATAGATATCTATTCCCGTACAATGAAATGCTAGAAATTAGCTTCGTATTGCGCATTAGCCAGTAAAAGGCGTAGTATATGTGAAGTAACCGACTGATCTGTGGGTGCAAGCAAATATGTAACAATACTGAACACGCCAATTTATTAGACTGCAGACGACCATCGACATGTTTATTCTTCACATTCTTGTGCTTCACTGGCTGACAAAATCAACGTAGGACCTCGCAGAAAGGAGGATCCGCTCACTGAGTCTTGAAATTTATAGAGGAAGAAAACTAGATTATGGGTTAATACAACGAAACTTATCAGGCAGAAATGCATCACATATACACAGGAATATTTTAAGAAAACGACTAAGCAAATTATTCGAATAGGTTCACTAAAGTCTTTATGTGTCTACTGGTCACCCAGAAAAAACAGCAACGTAGATTAAAAACTGAAGCTCGAAAACATCTACATTAATGGTCAGTAAATTATTGTTGGTTTGCTTCAGTTGTAATCATTGAGTTTGAATTCAGCAGTGACTACATTCAGCTCTACCTAACTGCCATGTTGAAACTTCCGACATATAGTTTTACATCGAACCTGAACAAAGGTTTCTTGGCGTTTACCAATACTGTTGGTCGATAATAATCAACTTATCTCCGGTAATACTTTTGATGCTTATTGTTGAGCTCTAGTTAACTGTCTTACTGATGAATTGAAATTTTTTCAGTTATTGTAAGAAGTCAGCGCACACTTTCGTTAAACACTTTTTTGAATTCAATATTTATGCCTGATGTTTCAAATATACGAATCTCGTATCTAAACGATAGTTTGAGGACTCAAGCTTTCTGTAGCTTTTGAAATACTATATATATCAAGTATCTGCTAAATCCTACTGATTCAATCTCTTGTTTCATCACTTCGTTTAAGTATCCTTCAAAAACTCAGTCAGATTATGCTGTTATGATAGGCCTAGTCAGGATCATTTTTGTTATCGTACCTACTGTCTCAATTCATATTTAAGCACCCACCAAGTATTTATTAAGTTTTTCACCAGAACGACTGCTTAGGATTTCAAATTTTATTGAGGTAAATGAGATCACTTATGTGATTTTAGCGTCAATAATTTTACAGGTGTAACTAGTTCAGCATATATGTTTATTTCTGACTTATTCTCGATATTTTCAACTTTTGAACATTTGCATCCCAAATGCTGGAAATATTGAGCTAATCTAGGAGTTATAAAAACAAACCAAGATAATTTTTAAAATCGTAGATGATTCAACAGTAATAATGATGATACTATTTATTTGATAGCATGAGTGAAAATTCGAAAGGCTTACTTTTAGATAATATAGAGTGAATAACTACAAGGAATGCAATTTCAGTACAGAAAATACTGAGAAGTAAAGAGTTCATGAACTCATATTACGGGGGATATGGATTTCGATTTTTTTACTGATAGAAACATCTCCTTTGAGAGCAGATTGTATGAACGAATGCATTCAACAGATCCTGACGACCAGTGTTTTTATGCGCTTATGTCATTCAGTTTTGAAGCACTGTTTGTTGTGAACTGTATGCAACTGTCTATATTTTTGTGTGTCATGTGTGAGGGTTTTTGTGGACGATATCAACATCATATAGCAAAAGTATATGTATACCCGAAATACTTTTCGTGCCGTCGAGTTAATCAGGATACAAATGCTTGAGTATACAGTGTTGCTATGTGAGTAATTCTACTTTTCTTGAAGTTTAATGTTTGAATATTCTTTGCATTCACCTATCGATTTCAATGCGAAATCGCTTCGGTTTAGAATTGATGCGAAGTATTTCTGGTATCTAACAGCTTTAATGACATTTGCACACATTATTGTACTGACTGTCATTTGTTATAGGAAGTGGAGTCACACGGTAAAAGACAGTTGTCTTCGGTCGATGCCATTTGAGCTAATTCAACTATCTCAGCTGAACCTTTGAGAGCACACAAGTTATTGCCTTAGTATAACTTATGGTCGAAGCTATTGGCGTTCGTATAAGAGTTGTTTTGTGACTAAAACACTCTTGAAAGCTGGTGACTTTTACAGATAAAGCAACTGGAACTCAGTAGTTCTACTGTACGCCTTGGATATCATCTTCGCACCAACACATGTAGCGCAATGTTATTGACACTTAGTTTGTATTACAATCACACTACCTCGTATATGGAATTTGAGGTTCAACTAGCTCTATATGGAGGAAGATAATATGAGTATGTGGTGCGATGATAAGGTATTGACTAAAAATTATAACGAAGAAGACAACGGAAAAATTGGTGTGATGTAACAGGGTCGAGTTTCGACAGAATTTTGACAACGTTTACCCTCGACTCGATAACGTTGGCGGAGAAGTAACTTGGCAGCTGCTTGCTTCAACACTACGGCTTTACTGCCCTAAACCTTTATCAACCTCATTCAACAGCTATATCCGATATGATGCCACATGCGAAGTGATTCACAATGGGAAGCTCAGTGATGATGCCTTTGAAGTGAAGTGGAGACAGGAGTAGGAGAAGGTTGCCGCCTACTGTCATCACCGATGATATTCCTGATTGTGGTCGACTGGATCATGCAACAAACCATGAAGAGCGACAAAAGAGGCATACGCTGGCTGGATGGATGGAGAGACCCCACAAGAAGATCTGGATATCGCTGCCGATGATGATTTATGTCTAATGTATTCTGTAGCACAAACTCGAAGATGTACAGGCAAAAACCAACAAGTTGACAGAAGAGGCGAGGCAGCGAAGGAAGACGGGACCTCCTTCAGGTGAACGTAGAGAAGACAGAAGTGGTGAACATACCCAACTAACAACAGCATCAACAACAAGCACCAATCACCATCTACGAGAGAAACCTAAAGGAAGCAGTCTCTTCCACCTACCTAGGCAGCATCGTTTCAACTACAGGCGGCACAGGCACAGATGAGGACGTCAAAGCCAGGATCGGAGAGACAACAATACAGGCCTTCATTTACCTGAAACCAGTATCCAGATCTACTACAATCCACTCCACTCCACTCCACTCCACTCAACATAAAGCGTGAACAACACTAATGTCAGTCAAGTCAGTCAGTGCTTCTATGTGATGGTTCAGAGACTTGGCGCGTTACGAAAAGCATTCCCAACAAACTGCAGACACACATCATCGACAGCTGCCGCCTACGCTCACTCGATACTGAAGATCAGATGGATGGCCAGAATAGTAGGAATAAGCAACAAAGAACTCTGGCCTGACAATGAACCAATCAAGAACCTATTGTCCAGCAAATTGGATTGGACATATACTGGGAAGACCGTTTGACGAAATCACGTGTCAGGCCAGGCCCTTGAGTGGAATCTGAATGGGAAACGACGAGTTGAGCGTCCGAGGGTGACACGGAAGAGATCGTGTGAGGAAGAAATGACAGTCAGTCGTGGAGCCAGGTTAAAAAGACTGCAGAGAACATAGTGAAATGGGGACATGTTACTGAAGCCCTATGTTCCACCAGGAACCGAAGAAACAAATAATAATGATATATATATATATATATATATATATATATATATATATATATATATCTTCACTTAAAACCTCAGGTATAATTAAATGTATAAAGAAATGCTGTAAGAGATTACTGAGACTGATATACTCGGGCGGTAATGTGTCGCGTAATTCACAAACTAATTTGCTAAGTAAAAGTTTATGCGTTAGTTTGTGTCAGTATACATTAGATCCAGTTTGAAAAACACTTACCTATCACGTCCAATTTTGAAATCAACAGCCAATTTGTCAACCACTGTTTTAAAACTGTCACAGTGAAGTACTAAAATGAGCATATGCGTAATTAATTTGTCTCGGAGCATTGGAGATATTACACTATGATTCCGATAAAAGTAAAGTATAAAATGAGTTAATTAGCATTCTTGTAAAAATAATTGTCTACAATTAAACAAAAACTACACTTTCTTAAAACACAAGTCTGCTTGCGAGTTTTCCCTGATTCCTTTAAAGCCTATTTGTAGTTATATTCACTAAAACGTTTACAAATACCCAGAAGACACCAAAAATGATGAAGCACTTTTGTTTTATAGTATCCTTTCAGCAGCAATCCTGAGAACCTCTCCTATATGATGTTAGAAAGTTTAGCATCAGCAACAAAATATCTTGTTGACACAAATAGTGTTATAGTCAAAAAAAGCAGTTTAACACCAGATACGTAATTTAAATAATTCCTCACTAGGCATTTCAGATACACATTCAAATTATTCCCAATAGGCATTCGATATAAATAAGGTTAATTCAAGTCGCATACATGAATAAAGCGATAGTAGTGAAGGCAATGTTAACAAAACCTAAGAAAGTTTACACATTCTCAGTAGTCGATCCATGTAAGTGTATGAGTGAATTGTGTATGTGTTCAGGGATAGAGGAGAATAAAAAATCATACCAAGGATGAATATATTGTCCAAAAAACCCCATAAACTTAACGTACCGGTGTGTCCTATCTCAGACACGTTCAATTCACCGTATCGTGAAGTAGCAAGATGACTAGCAGATATGCTGAGACCACTAAGACGTAGATGGCTAAATATCACTTAAACGACACTTGAAATTGTTTCGGAAATCGAAGACAAGAACATTATTAACAAAACAATGATTTCTAGTGGTGTCTCCTCCTTGTTTGCCAATGTTTCTCTTCTGGTTCGCTGCTAGATATCAAGATAGAGATAGGTATACCGCTTTAAACCCTACAACAGCTGGTTCTTCGTTGCAGTTAAAGGACACACTACCAAGTCTGGCCACATCTATGTGCATTTACAAACCTAATTGGCCCTGTGGAGATAGTTACATAGGCCTAGAACAACTCGGCAGACCCATCATCGCTTCACTGAACACTATCCAGCGTGGAACAGTGAAATCCATCGAAAGCTCAATATTTACCCATTTGGCAGACACTGAGCATAAGATTGACAAAACCTCAGCATTTGCTATTGTTTACAAAATGCCATCACAATATTATGAGTTTGTGTGTATCTGATTGTCGTGCCTAGTAGAAGCCATAACAATTAAAATTTTCAAATCTACTACTACTACTAATAATAATGATAGTAATAATCGTTTTATTCCAAACAACATATACGATACAGTATGAACTTCTCAGCATTCAATATTTCAACAAATTCGCTCCTCATACAATATTTTTTTAAAGAAATAGCTATCGTATCTGAATAGTGTAAATAATAACAATATTAAAAGCACTAATGTGAAACGGGCGGCTGGTGTTACGTTAGCGTCTGGTCTGTACTCGGGAATGAATACAGAATCGAGTGTGATTTTGGTGGTGGTAATTATATATACAGATGTTTGCTCGTTCCCTTTCCCTCCTATGGCCTTCAACTTCAACCCAGATACAATTACAATAGTTTTCTTCCCGGTCATCCGGGTAGATGTAAATATTGTCTGTTTGTACTCTGATCATTGTCTCTATTGTTACGCTTCGTCTTAATTCCAATTTTATATTTAGCCCTTGGCTTCATAACTGATTAGGAATTCTAGCATTTTATCAATAACTTCTATGAGATAGTTATTTTATTCCTCTCTATCCCTGAACACATACACAGTTCACTCATACACCTAAATGGATCGACTACTGAGAATGCATTAAACGTTGAGATTTTATATTGATCTTGGTGACTAAAATAGGAATTCAGGATGCGCCTTTGCCCGTTTTTGGGACTAGGTATCATTACTACAATTTCTGAGATTTTGTGATTATCGCCTTCACGGCTATCCTATAATTCATGTACATGAATTCAGTTAAATATATTTGTATGAAAGGACCACTGTGAATAATTTGTAAATATAACTTGAAAGTCTAACGAGAATTTATCAGGAATAAGTATGCGTTTTAAACTCTGCTTTGTAAATATGTTTAATCATTTAATCGAAGTGTTGGCTTCCAAATCATACTATGGATACCTTTTTGCTGAGGGGCTGCTTTAGACAAAGAAAGGTAGGAAGCTTGGCGGTTGTCTACGGGACGGAAAAGACAAGTGATGTGTTTGAAAACAGTCGTAGAAGGGTAGTTTTACTCAGTGTTTATCTCGCAATAAGAAAATGAACTGACTATTTTTAGTACTTATTACTGCGTTTGCTGTTACTGCATTTTTTTCTGGGTTCTGTCAAGTTTTTCCTCATTTAGAGGATGTAAACAATAGCAATGCTAAACACTACAACAATCATTAGGCGGTATCCAAGTATGTTAGTAAAAGTCCAATAGTATGAACTTAACAACCATATCCTCATGGTAACCGCTGGTGCAATAGCAGTAGTGGAAGGGAGGAATACCAAAAAATGGGACAACGAACCGTTGTGAAGAGGAAGCAGTAGCTATGGTGTCTGAATGAATCATCATATATAAAATCATAGTGCTGTAGACTTGAAAGTTTTTTATGATAATATAAAGTATCCGGTGATAGAAATTTTTATCATTTGGATAAGGCGTTCAGGAAACTTCTAATAATGAAGTAAGACTAAGTTGCTTTCATAATAATGCTATGATTAAACGTTGCGTGTAGGCCCTTGACCTAGAAGCATTTCGTACCGGAGTCCAAACCCGCTCTACTTACTCTGACCTCAGCAACCAAGTACTGCCATAAGCCCTAACAATATAAGTTTAGTCTAGGACCTAGTATATAAATCTGTACCTAGTGGTGTATAACACAATAATATATATGTATATTTCTCAGCTAATTAATTAAATAAGCAACATGTAAGGCAGTGCGTGTATAGCTTGAAAGTAAATGGTGTGGAATGACCTTTACAGGGAACCTGTGAAGCGTTAAAATGATGTAAAATTACGTACCGTACTTTCTGACGTCCCATACCTTGCCGATTAACCAAAGCAGTAAACTGACTGAGAAGAAGCTTCATGACGCTGCTTGGTGTATCTGGAAGTGGAACTTTACGCATTAGATCTCGGCTAGGTAGGTGAAACAAAGCAAACATATGACTGAGAAGAACCAAACCAGTCGTACATTTTGTGAAGTCTTCATATTTGGTTACAGATAAACTTCTCAGTTTGTTCATTACCCATTGTGGATAAACGTGTCCACTTAACAAATCATCTATTGAATTTGAATCTAGAGAGGTGATTTGCTGTACTTCCGAACTCAAAGCTTCTGCGACTCGAGCAGGAACCAACTTTTCATATGGATAAACATTCTCAGGACAAGTAGCTTTCAAATCTATCGGTGGAAGAAGGCGAAGACGTTCATCAACCTGCGAATTTGAACTTTCCATATCTTTTTCAGCTGAAATGATATTTAAAACAAACAATTAACAACACCTAGTAATAACAAAGCTAAGCAGAAAACCATGAAAAGTATCTTTTTACTGACTTTCCTTGGCAGCAATTTGAACGGTCTGCAGGGTTCGCTGCAAACGCTTTTAATAATGTAACAGTAAACAGTTCACGGAAATGGTACGAAAAAAGAAAAACTTGGGTGGCAGTAGTAGAATTCAAACCAATGGCTACCTAATTTACGCGAGTGGATCTGTTAGTTTGTCAAATTATATCAACAGTAACAGAATAACACCGAACAGATAAGGGGGATATAAGTAGAAGGGGAACCCGTAAGTAGAACAGCTCTCAGGTCTAAAATGCAACACAATTCATAATTTTTAACAAATAACACTTACTATAATAAAATTGCTAATACCTACCTTAGATACACCAAATCGCTTTACACAAACACGACTTTATCAAAGAACTAGTGATATAATAATCCAAAACTAGGTGGTATTTACAGTCCACATTAACACCACACAATATGAAACTTTCAGTTGTATTTCAATGAAGTTACTTACAGTGTGTATTCTGCTAAAAATGGTGCCCTAATGATAAGTAGAAGCATAATAGCTCCATTTTAATTATCGCGACACTAGCCAATTGCAGTAAATAATTATGAACAATCTGAAATTTGGAAGACAAATTTCATTTTAAGTTGACACTGATCCAGTTGCCACTGAAAATTAAGGAGTTCGGGATAGCGGTTTCATCGTGCTTGTTATCATCGCTGGCAGAAGCACAGTCTAAATTCCTATTAAAATGGAATTCGTAATGGTAGTTAGGTCACTACATATATACAGCTATCCTCGAATGCAAGTGGTTGGTAGAAGGCAATTTCATTTAAACCGTGAAACAGTGTAAACCATAAGCAAAGACAGTAAGTACAAAATAAAAATTCTCAGAAGTGAATTAAACTAGATAGCAGGAGGAATCATTTAATCTAAACTACACACCAAAAAAAACCTTGCCTAGATAACTAGATCACTAGTTAATAGCCAGTCCTAGATAAAGACGTAAGGTTGGGCCTGAGGCTAGCAACTCTACCCTACAAAACCAATCAAATCGCTAAAGAAACTTCAAAACACAAAAGAAATAGAAAAAATAAAATTAAACTTATTCCTTGCTGCAATCGGAGGGGCAAAATGACACCAGTTGGTGAAAGCCTTCGGGAAGCCAATTAGCCGATGTCTCTTCACTCCCCTTATGAAAGCGAAAGTAAATATACAGACATGGAATCTCCTCACAATGTTTGAAGCTAGCAAAACTGATCAGATTGTAAAACAAATGAAAAAATATGACACAGAAGTGCTAGGAATCTGTGAGGTATCTGCAGATAGAATGGAAGTGAACTCTCCAAACTGTCAACTAGAGTCAATAATCTACTCCAATATTGTCACCCACATGACAACCTTGGAGCACACTGAGTTTTGGAGTGGCTATCATGATGTCCTCAACAGCATCGAAGGCTCTCTCCCATGCAGTGGGAACCAATCTCCTCATGCAGGATCATGACAGCAAGCTTCAACTCAACAGGAAGGAAAGTCACAATCATACAATGCTGCGCTACGCACCCACAAATAATGCAGACCAAGAGAAGAAGGAGGAATTCTACAGACAACTGCAATCAACACTGGACAACACTCCAGTTGGCAACATCAAAATTCTAATGGGTGAAGTGACATGAATGCCAAACTCGGAGCGGAAAACACAGGAAGAGAACTAACCATGGGTCGGGAAGCGCTCCGTGAGGTGATGAACGAGAATGGAGAACTGTTTGCAGACCTCTTGGAATTCAACGATTTCGTGATTGGAAGAAGTGTGTACAAACACAAGGATATTCACAAAGCAACATGGATTTCACCAGACAAACAAAAATCAGGTCAATTTCATCTCAATCTGAAGAAAGTGGAGACGCAGCCTACTTGACACAACATCACTCACTATCTACTACAAAGAACCTGCCTTCAAAATCAAATTGAAAGCCATCAAGAAGGTTGGTGATAGACCACAGTTCAAGTTCAACACCCAGAACACAAACTGAAGGACGAAACTACAAAGGACATCTTCACGTCAGCCAGCCATCAAGACAAAATGGGGGATATCGAGCAACATACCTGAAGAAACCTGTGTGGAAGAACACTGGAACTCTCTTTGAAAGGGATATGGAAAGAAACCTGCATAACCGTATTAGGAAGGAAGAAGAAAGAAGATAAGGAATGGATCTTGACGGACACATGAAGCCGACAGAGCAGGGAGAGGAGGATGGTGAAGTAGAAGATGAAACAATGCAAGGATGAACAACGAAAGGAAGAACTGAATACAACGTACAAAACACTGGACAAAAAAGTGAACTGCTGGTAGGAGAGACCTGACAACACTATATCAAATAACCAGGTTTACTATCGGGAAAGAGATCAACACAGATGAAAGCAATGAAAGATAGTGAAGGAAGTTTAGTTACCACCAAAGAGGACAAACAAAGGAAACGATGGCTTGACCACTTCAAAAAACTCCTAAATCGACCACCACCACCACCTGCAACTCGTCCAGAAATACCACCAGCAGCCCAGCCACAGAATTACCAGTGAACACAAAAATGCTCTGCATTCAAAATTACCACCGGACACCTGGCTGGCTTCAGAAAAAATAAACCATGTGCGGATCAAGTTGCAACGCTACACTACGCACCATCATAGAACAGAGAGTAGAATGACAGTCAACTCTACCTCAACTTCATTGGTTTTGAAAAGGCCTTCGACAGCGTCGACTGAAACGTAATCTGGCAGACAGCTGCTTGCTTCAACACTACGGTTTTACTGCCCTAAACCTTTATCAACCTCATTCAACAGCTATATCCGATATGATGCCACATGCGAAGTGATTCACAATGGGAAGCTCAGTGATGATGCCTTTGAAGTGAAGTGGAGACAGGAGTAGGAGAAGGTTGCCGCCTACTGTCACACCGATGATATTCCTGATTGTGGTCGACTGGATCATGCAACAAACCATGAAGAGCGACAAAAGAGGCATACGCTGGCTGGATGGATGGAGAGACCCCACAAGAAGATCTGGATATCGCTGCCGATGATGATTTATGTCTAATGTATTCTGTAGCACAAACTCGAAGATGTACAGGCAAAAACCAACAAGTTGACAGAAGAGGCGAGGCAGCGAAGGAAGACGGGACCTCCTTCAGGTGAACGTAGAGAAGACAGAAGTGGTGAACATACCCAACTAACAACAGCATCAACAACAAGCACCAATCACCATCTACGAGAGAAACCTAAAGGAAGCAGTCTCTTCCACCTACCTAGGCAGCATCGTTTCAACTACAGGCGGCACAGGCACAGATGAGGACGTCAAAGCCAGGATCGGAGAGACAACAATACAGGCCTTCATTTACCTGAAACCAGTATCCAGATCTACTACAATCCACTCCACTCCACTCCACTCCACTCAACATAAAGCGTGAACAACACTAATGTCAGTCAAGTCAGTCAGTGCTTCTATGTGATGGTTCAGAGACTTGGCGCGTTACGAAAAGCATTCCCAACAAACTGCAGACACACATCATCGACAGCTGCCGCCTACGCTCACTCGATACTGAAGATCAGATGGATGGCCAGAATAGTAGGAATAAGCAACAAAGAACTCTGGCCTGACAATGAACCAATCAAGAACCTATTGTCCAGCAAATTGGATTGGACATATACTGGGAAGACCGTTTGACGAAATCACGTGTCAGGCCAGGCCCTTGAGTGGAATCTGAATGGGAAACGACGAGTTGAGCGTCCGAGGGTGACACGGAAGAGATCGTGTGAGGAAGAAATGACAGTCAGTCGTGGAGCCAGGTTAAAAAGACTGCAGAGAACATAGTGAAATGGGGACATGTTACTGAAGCCCTATGTTCCACCAGGAACTCAAGGGACAAATGATTTCAATAATAAGGGTGAAAATGACAAACGTTTTGGATTCTCTGCAAATATATACTCGTGAGACTTTGTTGTTCTGCCATTTTGTACTTAATAACTAACCGGAGGCTTTTCTGCAAAACACACAAGTACGCTTAAAGCGCATATACTGAATATTTTCAGTAGAAGCTGTAAAATTATCATATCCTGGCTTGAATTTCTAAAAGGAGGTCACATCACATGACTGTAATACTACGGTTTGTTTAAACAAAGGAGAGTAGAGTGATGCGAAACGCCTACTCATTGGTACTTTCAAATAATCACACTACCTAATTTAAGTCATACATACCTAACGAAGTGTTGTTCATTTTCAACTTGGAATTCTTGATCTTCCCATGATTCTTTGCAGAAAATACGACGAAAAGTTGTTGTAAGGGTTTTCAAAATTCAAAATCTACATACAGCTGAAACATGCGCCTTCAGCCGCATATTGTTTGTGATTAACATTGATGAACAAGAAAAGTAGGATAGGAAAATCACATTGTAAGGTTGGCTGATGTTGATGAGAGTTTTATAATTAGGGTCAGATAATGGACTAATCAATCTAATAACCTAATGTAAAGACAAAAATGATGATTTCAGGCAACTTAATAAATGAAAGCAAAAAAAAGCGAATACGAATGAGCCTGTTTCAAGTGATACCGCGACTGTTTAGAGTTAGAAGTGTTTAACTGTTTGTCTTTTCAGTAGGTTTATAGCACAGAACTGTTTTGTGGTCACTGCAAAAGTGAAAAAGACCGAGCACTACAATATTCTAGATTTTATAAACCAAAAACAGCAGATGTAATAGCGTAATGACTGAAGTTGAAAAGAAAACATATATCGCGTCAGAATTCAAACCATAGGAACCCGAGTCGATTTTCAAGATATGAAAACTAAACCTTATATTTATTCCATACGTAAATCTCGGAAAATGGTTAGACGGTTATCACAATCACATCACCCATCCACGCCATAGTCTGCTCCATCTTACTATCTGGCTTTAAGACATGCTTGTCGCTGGAGTGATGGAAATACCAAGTCAGTGACGTTGAAGCAAAGCGTAAAACGCTGGATAAGAATGACGAGTTACTCCGTGAGGTTATTAACCTATATAGATTGAGGTGGCATGTGTTATGCACACAGACCCACCGCCTACCTTGACGTATCATGTCAAGTAAAGTGGGATTAAGTTGAAAGAAAGTTAAGGGTGAATAAATCGAGACGTTACAATCAACAATTGAATTACTGGAGCATTTTTCTGTTATGTTGACTTTTCTTTCAGGCTGACGTGATATTAGGGATAACAAGATAGAAACTTACAGTGATGTCTCCAAACAGTACATATATCTTGACGCTTCATCATTACCAAGTCTAACAATTTGTAAACCATTTAATTATGCTGTTCTCTCTTATATCTCTTCTGTTTATTTTGATACTATTTTGTTAAGTTGAAAAATATGGGAACTTGAACTGATACGAAGTTCTACAAAGATCCGTTCGTCTATCTGGTAGCACCACTGTCGAAGTAGGAAGTCAACAGAAAAGTCTATTCTAAAAGAGAACAATCAGTTTGTAATTACTTCGCTCAAGTGATATTACATGCACTCAATTTGATGGTTGAAAGCAGCATAGTTAAGGCGCTTCGGGAATGAGAAGCGTGTTAACAGTGTATCAAAAAGAGTCCCATTACGCTTCAGTAATCCATATCTTTTTATACTAGGACATGCTCTTTTGCCAACAGTCATAACGCAAACTGCCCTACTGAGATTTAGTATGACAGCAACGGACAACTACTACGATTTATAATTTTACCAAATGTTATGGATTGTGATGAGAACTGACTGGATTTCTTTAGGGCACCATTATGAGACACATCTAGAAAATACATAAACTTACAACAAAACATATGAAATCAATTTATGAATACCCTAGTTCATCATTCTGGTAGATATGTAAATTGAATTACATATATTTTTACAAAATGTTAATTTGTAAAACAGCTTTGGAAACTATGATTCGGCAATGATTTCGATAAATATATAATTAAGTGATAATAACAGAAGTTAGAAATAAAAATATTGTAATTCTTACGACAGATCCCGTTAGTTTCAGTTTCGCTTTCAATCGAGCTTGTCCATGCATAGCACGATCAATAACCTGAGCATTTGTCATGGAGTCTTTATGAGTCTTGTTCCTTTCGATTTCTCGCATAGCGCGTTGTTTTTTGACAGAACCAAAGGCATTGATGAGAGCAGCTCTCTGAAAAGAGAAAAGGATATCATGGTATATGAAGGATTTCATATTGTTGAAATATTGACAGCCAAGAAACAAAAAACTTAGAGAGGCGTTAAAATTCCCTACCTTACCACTTAATAGGTTCAACGAAGTTTATGATACGATGCATTTTAACCATGAGTACATTTGAACGATCCCGCAGATTTGCTTGCACTAATATATTTCATTGCTGGGTTTTGAACTGTTTCAGTGAAGTGGAGAAAAGAAATCGAAATGCACTCAGCAATCATATATACTCTTGTGCAGCAGGCAGTGAGCCGCACCTATTTTGTAAGGGCTAATAATACTACTGGTTGCTTAGACAGTAGGTGAGGTGCGTTTTGAAAGTCAAGTGCCTCTACCGATGAGCCACAGCCGCACAACTGTATGCACACTACAAAGCTGTGCAAGACCAAACTAGTAGGATCTGAAAGTTAGTGACAATCAGTTATTAAACAAAGGTTAGCAAAACTTTGATGCCAATCATATCTACCCAATGTAAACAAACTTTTTTTCAACATCCTTGAGTATGACGCATTGTTTAAAAGTTCGAAAGCATATTGATAAAATGAATAACCAGATAAATACGAAAAATGATACAGCAGTGCATCCGTTGAATTTACCAAATACAAAATAAGATATTCAGCGAAGATGACTCTTCCCAACAAATTTATTCTCAAGCTGTACATTCGTATATATATGATATTTAAAGACTGTAATCCCTGAGGAAGATTTAACTTGAATAATGGGGATTGAAATAATAAGAATCTTGGATATAATAATAGTGTTCCTAAGTTGATCACGTGAAGGTTGAATGATGAAAGGAGCTATGCTAGGTTTTTTTAAAAGGGGTGAGAACGTGATAGAGTTAATAAACAATCAAAGGATTAGGCAATATGAATGAGACAAGTTAGTTGGAATAAATTGGAAATGTTTTGTTAAGAGTTGCGATTATTAGGAAGATCAAGTGAAATAACACCGGAAACAATTCAATATAAAAATAAAGTGATAGTGACGATATGAGGACAAAGATTAATCTGACAAAAAAGGGGGAGAGGGGGGGTTGAAAATCGAAAGAGGAATGAAGCACACGAAGACTAAAATAAGTTAAGGTCAAGGTAGAGACAAAGATTGTATATACTTCTTTTGCACACAAACATCAGGCTTCAGTTCATGGACAGCCAACGCCTCTGCTGCTTTTAGAGGCGGAACACGGAGGAAACGTGAGGTGTTTGAGCGAATTCGATAGACAAACTAAAATCATTGTTTGGGTAGGTTGAATGGTTGGAATTGATTAAATGCTCAAGGATAGAACTTCTCATGCATTTCGTTTCACCCTTATAAAACCAGGTTGGAATAAGTTTTGGTATACGTGTTGACAGCAATCTCTGATTGCGGTAGATGTAACAACTTTATTATTATAACTACCATTATTTAAGTTAAATCTTCCCCTGGGATTAGTCTTTAAATATCATATATATACAAATGTACAGCCTGAGGATAAATTCGTTGAAAAGAATCCTCTTCGCTGAAAATCGTGTTTTCGGTGTCACAATGGAAATAATGAACGTAAACACCAAAACACCATGATGGTTTCAAAAAATAATAAACTGAATAACGTTGCCAGAAGACAGCGAAACGAAAAGGCACAGAATAAGGAGTAGGTGATGTTGCTGCAAGAGTGAAATGTTCTGCCGATGTTTTTTCACAATTGTATCTTACATACCACAGTTATGTAGCACTTTAGACATGGAACTAGAATTATCCACGCTATAGCCACACCATGCCGAGTTCAGTAGATATTAGTAATTGTCGTCCTCACATATCTTTCATTTTCCAAGGGATCCCTGACAGCTATATGATAGGAGGGAGCGTGTTACGGCACAGAACACTCGTTTACCAATAGGCAATTGAATAAGTAGCTTTCTTTTCTGAAAAGTAACACACAATAGACTTTATGTATATTATTATATACCACCGTACCAAGCATAAACGCCAACCGGTATTTAGGCAACAGTTCTGCATTTGGGTGAGACATACCTTAGACATTCTCGAAGTTACTTTTCACACTTTTTCACCATTTTTAGTTTCTAGTACCATGTTTTCTGGGTAGTTTGACTTGATCACTGAGAAATGTTTCCATAAGGAGTTGGAAAACAACAGTATAACTCATAGAAAAGCACTTACAATGAGGATGGAGAAATACGGGGACCGAGAAACTTACTGAGAAGAACACCCAGTTTTTTCACCCTCAAAGAATAGCTCACTGTAACCGCTCACATGACTGAGTACTTTAGTGAAAAGCTCTTGGTAATACGATGTATTTGCTTAGAGTATATTTCGGTGAGCTTTACAACCGACTATGTCCAATATAAAATTCAGTTCACAGAATACTGAAGAAATCGAAATCCACTCAGCCATCATGCAAAATGATGTAGTAGGCAGTGAACCACACCTACTGTGTGAAAGCTAATGATACTACCTAGATTTCCACATCTCGATAGGTGGCGTGGAATTCGAACCCATGACCCACCGGTTGGAAGTCGAATGCCCAGACCTATAAGCTACAGCTCTAGAATATAACTAGACTTGGACAGCACTGATTTCGGTCATTTCGTAAGATATGCTAAATGGTTAAGATTGGTTAAACGACTTACAAGTTTGATAACCAAACCTACTGACTAAATAATTTCAGATCCCGAAGAAAATGTCAAAACAGTTGAAAACAAAATTTGAACTTACATCAGCTTTTAGTGCATTTGGAACCTCAATTACATCATCTAGAAGCGAAGACTATATAAATCAAACTTCCTACCATCAAAACAAGGCTCAAGGAATTCTGGCTTCTTGTGAATAACTTCAACGGTTTTCTTCTTTTTATTATAGATAACGGTAGCATAACTATATCAAAAGTGAAATAACAACAATAAATAATAAAGTTTGGATATTACGTATCCAGTAAATAACATAGAGCAACTGTGCCGATGAGGAAAAATGTGGCATTACGTTTTACTGAATATCTACAACTCTATTCATCAATTGTGGTAAAGAGATGAGTGCAGTAGACGGATAAAATCACCGATTACCTAACTTGATAAAAATACAGAATCTACTACAATACGTTTCAGACTTGACTCTGAGAGATCCCGAATTCAATACCGAACGGAAAAGAAGTAGAGAGTATGTTCAATTTATAGATTACGTTTGAATGGATTAATAATGACTATTAAAACATTTTGAATGTTGAAGATAATGAAGAGCAAATTTACTTGACTAAGTATCATCTACTTTGGACGATACCAGTAACAGTTTCTAAGTACTACATCCTAGCTTCTTGAGGATAAATGACAAACAGCAGGTTGAAATTCCCCACCACAAAGCTCGCACCAACAATCAGTCACTTGTGGGATCGGCATCAAGTCACGATTTTGACTAATCCTAATTTTTTCTTCGACCTAGTACTACTCCAGTTAGTTCGGCTTGTCAGATTGGAAATTGGCTTAAAATGTGTACCACAGTTGCTAACTAATTTAATAAAAAAAGGTTCATATCCCCGGAAAGTTATGACCTCGTATCTTTCATCTACAAGAGTCAATCTTTATACGGGAGTAGGAAAAAAAGAACACAAACAGTATATTGGCAGATAAGTAAATCTAAAAAGGAATTTAAATATAAGCAACTAGATTTTGTCAATCAGAAATCCACTAGGATTGATGAAATGACATACTGCGTAATGTGTTTAACCAATTCACTTTCTATTTTCATGCCAGAAAGCAATCGCAAAAAAAATCAATTGCAAATCCTCATTATGGCTAGCGAAGTGAATCCTTTATATTAAGTTTTATTTGACTAGCTAAGCAAAGCCCGACCGATAGCTGCTACCTTGACTTGGCTGTCAGGCTTGCATACCACAATGACCTAACGAGCTACACTGGCTTGAACCCTTGTTTTCTCGAGGCCTCATCAAGCCAAAAAGGTCTGTTGGATAGCGGCAAGACGAAAGCAGTTACAACTGTAGTGTAAATTGCTCCATTATAATGTAGGTCTGAGGGCGAAGTCATACTGCTAGCTGGATGGGATAAGACAGTAGAAAGGTGTTCCCGTTGGATGTTATGCTGATGCTGCCTTCCCAATTGGAACGGAGAAGGGTTAGAAGAGGTTGGCCAAAAAATAGCACACTTCTCATTGCCATACGGTCTTCTAGTTCCGATGGTATCACTTTTCTCAACCCAGTGTTAAGCAAAATCAAATTTCATAACAACAATCTTGAAAAGTCTGTGACAGACTTTGAGCAGATGTTCTATGGAGTCTGTGGTCATAAATATTTTTCTCTTTCAGATACTTTAAGAAGAAATCGGCTTCCACGATGTGGCCAACCAGGCAGTCTCAACCGCACGTACGCTAGTAGTAGTATACAGGATTAAATCATACATAACTCATCCTCCTCATTTCTGTCTCCTCCCTTGCCTTCAACTTCTGAACCAAGATTAAGTCAACTACAACTTCTTCAGCCTTTCCCTCTACGACTACTACCAACGATTAAAGTCATTGAAACCTGATCCCCAGTCTTATGAGACCCGCTGTCGATTTCATGTAGAAGCTTTCAACGTTCGAACTCTACACCAAAACGGACAGCAGGCACTGATCGCCAGAATTAGGAAATCTTGAGCCATGGATGTATACTGTCTGAAACACATATGCAGGACCCGAGGGTAGTTATCAAACTGACCTCACCTGGCCATTGTAGTGAATCTTGAAGACTTGTCCGGAGATCCAATGGATTTGCTATTGTAGACAGCATTAAGTTGTAGAGCAGAGTGTACTTCTCGACTGAATACCAGTCAACAGCCGACTGCATGCCATTCAACTAAACGGATCTTTAAAAACTGGGAAGTATTACGAGACTAGCTGATGCCTATTCTTAATCTCCGCTAACGCGTCCCTAGACTACAGTTCAAATGATACAAAGGATGAATTCTACTGAAAGTTATTAATATTGCCACAGAAAGTAAAGTGGTGAGACACAGTCATAATAGCAGGTGAATCAAACGCTGCAGTAGGAAAGCTGAGCCAATTAGAAAGGCACCTTTAAGACATCTACGGTACACCGAACCGAACAAAAGACAATGGTGATCTTCCGCAATTTTGTCCTGACAATCACCTGTTTCTGACCAGCACCAATTTCAAGTACAAGGAAAGACACCATTTCGCTTGGCGTCCGCTGAAATCAAGCCGACGATGAACATGGATAGATCATATTGCCACAAGCCATCAATGGAGGATTGACACTCTTTCTAGGGCACCTATTGAACCTCAATCACACGATAGTAAAGGTTTGTATTTTTCTGCGCTTTACTGGCAGCAGGAGACAGTGAGGTCTATCTGTGCTCCATTAGTAGATGGGTACGCCAAGTAGGCATTTTGACACCAATGCTCATCCTGAGGAATCCTGGTGTGAAATTAAGTCTGCTGTAGAAACAGCAATGATGACAGTTGGTAACCTATAACCAAACGTTATCAAACGCCAAGGGGTTTCCGCAACGTCATCCGAACTGATTTATGCAAGAAGACCCATTCCGGTAGGCTGTAGCCACAATGAAGAGCCAAAGCAATTTAAACATAAATTGATCAAGTTTTCGCAGTGATCGTGAGCAGAGGTATGAGGCGAAAACGAGAATATGCGGAAGCCATCAACATTAGGCGATACTCAGCAACTACTTAGGTTTGTTAAACATACTGGTAAGAAGACGATGGTTTGTGAAACTCTCACCGAAAACAATCATAATAATATTTACTCCTGATAGGAACGCCAACAACCTTTCAGAGCAAGTGGCTAGAATGCTGGGCAGAACACTTTGAAGCGCAGTTCAACTGCTCTACAGCAACGCTTCAGTGGCTCAAAATTTAACCAGGACCTGAATCGGACGTAGATGTCGGTCCTTCAACTCTCTCCTTGAAGTTGAGGCTCTGTCCAACATGAAACGATGTAAGGTAGCTCGACCTGATAGTTTGCCGCCTGAAGATAAGAAATCAGCGATTAGAGTAACGGAAAAGCTAGGTAGTAGTGTATGGGAATCAGAGACAGTATCGTTAGACTGGTCTACTTCAATGACTATTCCAGTGTATAGGAAGGAAGACAATTAGCTTGACTAACAATGTATTCACGATCCTCGGATCCATTGTCATCTGATGCCTAACTAGACCTCGAAAACAACAAAAACGAGGAAAGCAGACAGTTTTCAGACCTGGATGAGGATGCATCGATCAGATTTTCATCCCTGGATAAGTTATGGAACACAGGTATACATACCACCGGCCGACATGCTATGTTTCTCGACCTGAAGGAGGTCTCTCATCTGTCTACCGAGAGGTGTTATGGCAGTGTCTGACTATGAAAGAGTTTCGAGCAAGCATGAAACACTAGTAAAAGCTCTTTACTCGAACCAGCTGGTGTCAGTTCCTGAAGTGTGCCACTTTGAAACCAATCAATCCCAAACTCAATGGCATATATATATATATATATATATATATATATATATATATATATATATATATATATATAAACAGATAAATAAAAGTCTTATTCAGCTTCCTGCGACTTGTATCAAACCGGATCTATGCCTAGAGAAAGAAATGGTAGTCAGTCTTAATTTTCTATAGCAGCTTTTTCTCTAACTACAACTTCCTACATTAAAAGTCAAATCTGAATGGAGAATATTATTTTCAATAACTTTACGTCAGGTTCTTAAACCATCTAATTGTAATTATAGTTTTAGATTCATTGTAAGATGCATTCGTCTCAAATTCAGCTTTTTATACGTTAACGGGTTTTATTTAATAACTGCAGAACTTGACAAAAAGTTAGACAAAAGAATATTCTTCGTTCATATTTGACTTTTAACATATGAAATCAGAACCTTTAAATGTTCAAAAACATTCCCTAATCTTTTTTTCCTCTATTATTTCGCCTTCTTTTTTTAAAAATGAAATAGTGATATTTAATTAGCGTTTAAAAACATTTTGATATTACTTATGTTGCCAGTTATTATATTCTTGTTCTTCTCCCAAAATCAGCTTCCAACATTTACTATTTTAGAGTTTTCTTAGGTCTCATCAACATTTCACTTAAACTTAGATTTGTTCACTTTTTTGAAATTGTCTTGCCACAGCAATTCTAATTGGATCTTATCACGTTTTAACAATTACTTATCATTTATACACCACAAAGCAAGCACTTAAACTGAATGGTTTGATTCTTTGTTAATGTGTATGTGATAAGACTACATATAAATTGTCATGTACGGTGAGCAATCAGCTTAAAAGTTCTACAGAAACCTAATGAATTCATCAGACTCTCCTTTTTGCAAACGTTTCGCATGTTTGAAAAAATGAACACGAAACGAGGGTTATCGAGCTGACGGAACGAACAGGCCAAGGCAGCTATAGGGATATTGATTTACTGGAAATAATCATCATTGCCAGACGCAATTAATGTCTTGATTATCTATTAATGGTGCAAGTGTTGAGGACAGGCAAGTAGAATAAGCTACAAGAATATTAACATTTGAGGTTTAACAATTTGCAATTAGATCATCATCCAAATTGAAAAGTGATTTCGTACTTAGAATCCCTTAAAGTAGACTTCAATTTGCTAGTGTATAACACATTACCAACTTGACAGCTCTAGGGATTAAATGAAAAATTAAATTGTGAGTAATTTAATTCATACCACAATGGACTTTTCAACATCCTGAGGACATTCTTCAACATTAACTGGTAAAATATCTGTAACCAGCATATCGCTTGTGCCTAGGGAAAAAGGTGCTTTCAGATGTTATATAGGAAGGTATTTTATTCTTACCTGGAAAAAAATTCATTATACTTGAATACTACTTTTCCTTTAGTCTGATAGCACCCTGAATCTTTCTTATAGTGAAAAATAATAGCCGATTCAACAAGCTTTTTATGTCCGTGATGCAGATGAACAGTACGTGTTATGTTTCCACAGTGTCCTAAAGAGAACAAAAAGTATGAATAAAAAGTAAATATGCATTGTACATCTGTGAAAATTTTGAAAGTATATAGTGGGTATTTTAAGTTATCAAACGCGATCATATCAACTTCCTTAGGCACTGGACTTTATACGTTTAAATCTCACATTACAAAAGAAAGACGTTTCCATGTAAACCTTCCTCATACCTGGCTAGAAGGTATTCCTGAGCTGACCTTTCACAAGAATGTATCAATGGTAAACAATATGAAAGACTATTACCGTGACACTCAATTACTGTTGAATGAAGCACTATGGACATGAAATAATTGAATAACTTATACTGGTTACCTTTTTAACAACTCGTTTTCCAACTTCCTTTACGGTAAAAGTTGTCAGTGCTTCTCTTATTTGCACAAAAAGGAAACCATAGTTTGAAACTATCTTAAAGGATGGCCTAGTATAGTTCTTGCAAGAGACTGAAACTTCACCATACATATCCTCCAGAACAATACAGTTTACTTTCGTAGGTTACATTTGCATCCAAAGCTGACTACAATTTCACCAAGATGAGTGACTAGGCTCTAGGTAAGGCAATCAGACGACCATAGTGTCGTCACGAAAACGTTGAGTACTCCATTACAATCGTGACGGATTTCCAGCTACTATGGCCTCTCCATACAGCTCGTAAACGCCTCGACAAATGTGCTTAAGAATACGTTACCCTGTATGAACTGAACTTAGGAGATACTTATACGAAATAAGGGTTTTCGGTGACTATATGATCACTCGTATCTCTAAAGGATCACTTGCAACATTTAGCACTACAGGAGTAGTTAAGCATGCTGTTGTGTTTGGGTTTGATGAAAATTGTCATTCAGTCACTGAAGAAATCTTGAAACACTTGCTTTAATAACTTGGACGTAGTTTACGCATACCAGCCTAATGGCTTACAATCCGGTAAGAGGAGAATGGATGGTGATGTGATGCGTAACAGTTGCGTTTAGTGCATCGCAAATTCCTCTGTAGCGCCTATAAAGTTCTGTGATTCACTGGCTTGAAGCATTATCAGACATTTTAAGTTATTTGGTTAAGATGAACCGAAGTGATTGGTTGATGTTGGAATACGAGCTTTAGCATGAATAAACTGAGTCTTACAGGAAACAGCATTATTTTCTGGAATAAAGATACAACTGACTGATGAGTTGCAAAAACATGACCTTGATTTTACCGCTAGCCACCATCAGGAGAATTGCATATTAGATAGCTTTTTAAAAAGATGGTCAGAGTCATGTTGTAATTTACAGGTATTATTTCGCACTAAAAAGCGATGTGGAAGTGACGTAGCTATTTCGACGCACAAATAAGACCGACTTTCCCATTCCAATCATTTTGGTACTCGTCTTTCTGCTATTCCCTTTCTCATACTGCTGATGTTATAACAGTTGTGGCATATTTTTCGTGCTTGCGGTAAATTGGAAAAATAGGACATGAAAAAACCATAAAGCAATATGACCAGATTTTTAGCAATGAATTTAGGCAGTAACTTTCTAAAAAGTAATCAGTGCATTCAAATGTGTTCAAATAATGGACACTATACTGACTATCCACTTGTGAAATTGCTTACGAAAAGTATTTCTAGTGACCACATCTATTACCTGCCTTAATGCAGTGAAAAGAAAGTTAAATATCCCCATACGGTATCGTTAATAGTGAATTCGCTGGTGGAGTTGTACGCTCTCTCAATCTATGACTTGTGATCTTCATTATATTTCTTGATTACTCACTGACGTCGTAAGTGCCATAAACTTAATGCGAACGATGCTAATTTCAGATTGGATTAGAGAAGAGAGACATTTTTTTAAGTGCATAGGTTCTTTTGCAGAAACTCGTGTGATGCTTCCAGCCAGCTGGATGACAACTGACATCCAGAAAGTTTTACGTATTTAATGGATTCAGATCTTTAGTGATAAGGATAGCAGGTTACTGAACCCTCATCTATCTTTGCAATAGTTCTCTGTGAAAACCCAGCTTTTTCGTGAACACGTCCATCGAAGAAGCCATTACTTGTTTTGACAAGTATTTTGATTCGCTGATCACTATATAAGGTAATCTGCACCAGCCCGAATGGGTAGGTTGCTGACGAAATCTCACTTCGAATACAAAAGACTCGTTTTGCATTTGCTAACTGACGTCACCTGTGGCGTCGGCGAGATACGCCGTTATCTATCAAAGGAAGAGTATACCGCGCTCCAGTTCGTTCTGTCTTGTTATACGGCTGACATGGTCGTTAAAAGTAAGAGGCATGAAACAGTTAGTTTTTCGACCACAGATGTATTCGTAACACTGCTTGCATGTGGTCGAAGCACAGTGTGAGCAATGTTGAAGTCAGACGAGACGTGCTATGCAAGACAGGCAAGTCGATTGACGAAGTTGTGAACCTTAGTCGAATGAGATGTGATGAATATGTATTGCACATGTCGAGCCACCGCCTACCTTGACGTGCCGTGCTTAGGGAAGTTGGATTAGGATGGAAAAGGGTCCAGGATGGGCATATAAAGACGTGGCACCAGTCCATGAAGTCTCCTGCTGTTGATCTGAGCCGTGTAGGGAGATGTAGACCGTATAGTTGGGGTCCTTGAGTTGAAAGGAATCAATGGTTGAGGAGTCTTGAGGATATGGTTGAAAATCGGTCACAATGGTACAGATAGATTCACCCCTAGACATCTAAAGCTTGAATATTCACACTTACCCTTAACTTTAGACTGTTTATTCTCTGACACTTTATCTACTTTGATATCACTCCTTCTAAATCTACTTGTTTTTTGTGTACTATGACTTGTGGCAACTTGAGCCAATGCACCTGTGTGCGAGGTTCTACGTTGATTTTATCAGTCACTCAGAATCTGCATTATAGTTTGAATCGATTCGACTGCGTTTTAAGCACCCCAAATGATCAGGGTGGAAAGATTAGACATATCGACAAAAAATCTACATAAAAACACTAAAGCCTACAGTAAAATGGATCCTTCCTCCAGCAATTAAATGCAGGAATAAAGCTTCACCATTCCAATCTCTTCTCATTGGGTAGGTAGTCCTTTCACATATTTAGCAGCTAATCCTCGGATGTGTTCCTGTATGGGCACTCTCACGAAGCAGGAAATAGTTATATCGTAGTAGTAGACAAGATATCAAAGATATGGTATACAATCCTAAAAGTCAGATTTATGAAAACGAATGGTTTCGGAGACACTTCCATAAGTGTGTAGCAGAGAGACAAAATCATTCAAGCGCAGTCAGTTGAAATGGCAACAATGAAGGTATGAAACTGACTTCTCAAACTATTTTCAAAACGATAAAAGAAAACTTCGTAAACGAAAACCTTAAAAGGTGCGACTAGGCTATATTCTCCTTGATTTTGGTATGATGTTGAGTTTCTTTTCACGCATCAATGAAATTCAAATGAAATTCACTACAATTTTGTTCCTTTTCTATGATTTTTCTATTATTCGTCAAAATTTATGACATTATCAGGGATATTGCAAACTTGATTTCCCTAACGTATGAAAACTCAAGTTTTAAAATAGTCACTCAAATACCGGCAGCTAGATTAATTCAAACTTGAATTGTATTAGGTAGTCTTCGTAATAGCCACATGCTTCCGAGAATGTAACGCACCATGAAAATACTGCGGTTCAGATATTAAATGCCAAACATCAATAGTGTGTACGAAACTAATAGTTTTTGAACTCTCATATCTAGTGCATGAAGATAGACTTTTATTGTTGAGTTTCATTCTCTGCTGAGTGGGGAGATCTCTCCTGCTATCCAGCTGTTATCTTCGGTAAGAAAAATATTTTAGTTAGATGGCATTTGTACCGTGCAGATTCAGTCAGTTACTCAGCTACCAATTGTTGAGATGGTGAGGGATCTCTCACGATTCCTTTCTACACAAGTTCTTGAATAGGAATAGCAAACAAACCAGACAGTTACGTCGGCAATCATCGACTAGAAGAAAGTAAAGTGAACAAAATTGTCTTGAATTTGTAGCGTCACCCACTTCTCCGGAATCAATAACCTGGGATTTGACGAGTTTCAACACTGGTCGTGACCTTGATAGTTCAACTGGACCCACTAAGCTGAAGGCACCAGGTCAAGCATCCTTGCCATTTCACACGCTGTCGTGTTACGTTGCACTGCTCGTAATCGACTCTCCAGCCAGTTAAGAGGAATGCATCGCTATCTCGGCCCGACTTTGCAAATATACTATTCCATCCGACTACGCTGTTGTGTTGTTCCTTGGTCTCCTATTTGTGGGTGTATAACAAGTTCGAATAGTCAGCAATTGGCCTTTGCGTCTACCGAGTTCGCACCAGGACAATTCCTAAAAACTAGTTCACAACGGGCTTTGCGTTTATAAACATAATTTTCCTCACGTACTAAGGAACAGAGTGACCATGGCAAATTCTTCGGCTTCTGCTAACAACGTAATGATGTACGTGAATGATGAACCTCCAAGTAATAATGACAAAAGTTATTATTGCTATCTAAACGATTGTGAGAAAATCAGAACCGTATGGCAACGCAGGCATCTAAAGTTTCATTGTGGACCAAAACCTTAAAAATAAAAGTTGAGCAATACTAGGGAACGAAATGAATTGGCAGTCAAAGCCTTTGTAAATAAGACATATATGTTAAAGGTTGAAGAAAGGGAAAGAGGTGAAAAATTAAACTAATTTTTAAGGCAGTAAATCAGGTCTTCCCCGGCCAAGGTCAAGATGAGGGTCGCACAAACTTCTGCCATAGACAAAGCCTCGGGCTTTTTCTCTAACTTGTAGATCAGTGAATATATCACCTTTGGAGGTGTGAATGGAAAAGTAACAGACC